CACACACAGAAGCGCCACAACCCCACAGCTGGTCTCCCGAACACAACTTCCAAAGATTCCTGGAGGAATGCTCCCCTGCCCCTATCCTGCAGCAATAAGCTCTGAGATGTACTTGTGTTAGCTAGTGCTGGCTAACTGTGGTGTGTGAAGACTGTGTCTGTGCTTGGGTATCTCATGCTGTACCCTGCAGAACTCCAAATTGATAAAGTGCCCTTGGCCCAGATGAGGTAGTTCCCTGGCACGTAACCAGACCTGTGAGATGGTAGGCTGGCCATGCCTTACACACACAAGGCTGGCCCTGGCGGGGGCAGGCAAGCTCTCTGAAGATTGGAGGTGATCCTGCTTCAGATGTTACCATGCAGCCCTGGAGAGGATTCTGGAATCTGCAGGTTTGTTCTGCCATCCAACTTAGAAAACATTCCTGATACCTCCGCCATATATCTACTAAAATAATCAAGTATCTGATCAGCAATTTTGAAGAAAAATGTAATTTTGATCTTTACCTCATATTCCAGACAATTTGAAGGATGAACTTCTGTGAAATTTTACATATAAAAAACAACTTAATACTTACCGAACTACTAGACAAATGCTAAAACATAAGAAATGATGGAAAAATCACAAAGAAAATGACTTGATAACATAAAAATCTTAAACTTCTATATATCAAATCTTTAAAAGATAAAAGGCAGAGGGGGAAAACGTTCACAGAAGAGAACCTTCCCAACAGATAAATGACTAAAGTATATAAGCAGAAATATATTTTATACTGTGTATGTGGGCATCTTTGTTTTTAAGTAGAAAAATGATGCAGAAAGGGATTTAGTAAATTTCTGTAAATCTTTTAGGGACAGAGACTATTTGCGGGAGGGGAGGTTTAGCCCCTTCTACCTCCTTATCACCAAATCCAGTATCAGGCAACGGTAAGGCCTCGAAAAATGATTTCTGAATGAGATATGAGAATACATAACGTCTCTTAGGAAAAGGGAAATAAGAATTCAGGCAATAGTCTAGAAAATTAAGAAAAACTCAGACACATCCTTAATTATCCAAGTCAGCAAAACAGTGACTTGGATAATTCACCATGTCCACATAGTTTAGCAAAACTAAACTATGTGGACATGTGCCTCAAATGTTCAGTTTATTTGTTAGAATGCATTTCTAGCTCTATGCCTTTCTGAGACATTCCTGAAAAGCATCAGTTTAGAGGCTCCATTTCAGACCATTTTCAAAACGTCATATCTATGTACTCCCATGAGATTATCTAACAAGAAAAATGTGTCATTTTCGTTAAAAAAATTCAGAATGAACAAAAAAGAAAGTAATTTTCACAGATGAGCCACATTGCTTATAAATATGCAAATCAAATGAATTGACAACAGAGGTAATGATGAACAGACCTCCTCGACTCATTCAGGTCCATTTGCAAAAGCCATGTACCTCAAGAGGTACATGTAAATATACACGTATAGATGTTTAACTACAAACAGTCTGCAACAGAGAACCATGTTAAACTGTTAGCAGCGTTTTAAAAAAAAAATCTGTGTAAAGAAAAAGGGTAACTGAATGACTCATTTTGGAAAAAGTATTTAAAAACTTTCATTTCTATATCCATGCCTTGTCATTTGATCCCCCAAAATGGGATCCGAGAATACTATTATGTCATTATTGATCAAAAAATGAAATGTTCTATTCAAGTGGGCCAAGAAAGGGGTAATTTTTATCAAATAAACAATTAAGGAAATCAAGACAGGAGAAAGAAATGAATATTAAAAGAAGAGAGGAAGGCACCTGCTTCCAAAATCCTTTGCTTTACAGTAATGATCTGCCATTTTTTCAATTAATTACATATTAAGAGGAAATAAGATAAATAAAGATTTATTCTTAAAGTTATCTTGATTCTAAGTGCATTTCACAAACTGAAATGATCTAAAACAGTTATAACACAAAAAAATTGGTGGTGTTACTCCCCACAGCTTCTGTAACCAGGTAGCTTGAGTCTCCTCTGAAATTGAATAGTGACTCAAACTGCTCCTAGCATGCATACATCAGGGACTTTTACTTCCAGTAAACATGAACGTAGTACATCAGAACAATCCTCCAGTTGAAAAGCAGGGAAAAGAACAGAATAAATACCTGCTTGGAGGCCTGGAGGAAGAAGGGCTATCAGAGGCTCAGGGAGGTGATTTCAGTATTTGGGGCTACTTTTCCCTGGAGATGTCTGCCAACTTTGAAGGGAATCCTAAAAGTCTGGCTTTAGGTTGGAGGGCAAAGGTGCTGGTGAAGAGCTGAACATGAGCACTAAAGGTGAACAGAACAGGCTGGCTCTCATAAAGGACTGGAGCTCAGCTTAGAAACAGCCCAGTTCCTTGAGACTACACTGAAGTGACCCCAGATTATAAGTGCCCCATTTGTCTGACAAAAGCAAATGTGAATTATCTCTGGAAGAGAAAAACATCTTCTTAGGCCTCAAATTATTTCTACAAACAATTCTGCAAATATGATGTCCAGCATGGAATTAAAAAACAAAAACAACTAGGCACAAAAGGAGATAAGACAATATGAATGAAAACCAAGAGAGACAGACGTTGGAAATGACTCACAAATACTGCCATAACTGGACAAACATTAAGATAATCATACATACTATATTCAAGGAGATGAAAGACAATATTGATAATTTTGGCAGACAGCTGGAAACCATAAAAAAAAGCAAATGGAAATTAAAGTATCAAAAAATATATAATAACTGAAATTAAAAAGTCAATTGATAGGAAAGATAAGTGAGGAGATAACCAGAATGAAGGGCAAAGAGACAAACAGAAAACACAGAAGGAAGGTTAAGAAAACACAGAAGGAAGATACAGTGAAATAGCCTAACATGTATAATGGTAGCCCCAGAAGGAAAGGTGAGGGAGAATGGGACAGAAGCAATATTTGAAGTCCTAAGGGCTCATGACTTCCAAAACTAATGAGAGACATAAAGCCAAAGACTCAAGAAGCCCTAAGTTATAAGTTATTAAAAAAAAAAAAAATCCATACTAAGGACAGCACAGAAAAAACTGCTGAAAACCAAACACAGAGAACATTTTAAAAGCAGCCAGAGAAAAACACGACTTTCAAAGAACGACAGACAAGTTACTTCTCAACAGAAACAATGCAAGTCAGAGACAATGAGGTATCTTTAAAGTGCTAAAAGAAAGCAACGGTAAACCAAGAATTCTGTAACTACTGAAAAGACCCTTCTAAAATGGAGGAAAATGTTCTAAAATTAGATTGTGGTAAGGGTTTCATAACTCTGTGAAAATACTAAAAACCACCAAACTGCATACTCTAAATGGGTAAATTTTATGGTATGTGAATTATATCTCAATAAATCTGTTTTATTTTTCAAATGAAGGATAAATAATGACACTTGCAAACAAACACTGTAAGAATTTGTCACCAGCAGACCTGCACGAGGCATTCTAAAGGGTATTCCTCAGATGGAAAGAAATGATCCCAAATGGAAGACTGGAAGATGACAAAGGTGGCACTGCAGAACTATGGGGAAAAGATGACCTTTCTGATAGACAGTACTGAATAAATGGTTCTGCTAAATATAAAATTTGACCGCTTTTCCACAAGTTACACAAAAGTCACAAGTGGACTGTAGATCTTAATTTGAAAGGCAGAACAGTAAGATTTTTAGAAGATGTCATAGGAAACTATCTTCTTGACTTTGGAATAGAACTCCTACAAATTAGGAAGAAAAAGGCATGTAAATCTCAAAAGAAAACACTTTTGAACAGGCACTTCACAAAAGAGGATACCAAACAAACATGAAAAGATGTTCAACCTCATCAGTCAGCAAGAAACTGCAATCTGAAAACACAATGGGATACCCCACCAGGATGGCTGTGCACTCACCAGGATGGCTAAAATGTAAGTGTTGACAAGTACTGACAAGGACATGGAGCACGAGAACTCTCATACATTTGCTGGTAGGAGTGTAAATTGGTACAAACACTTTGGAAACTTGGTGTTATCTCCTAAAGTTGAAGATATGGGTATCTTTTGACCTAGAAGTTCCACTGCTAGGTATATACCCAACAGAAATGAATGTACCAGATGTATAAGAATATTCAAAACAGCATTATTATTAATAGTCTAAAGCTAGAAACAGTTCAAATGTCTACCAATACCAGAATAGCTAAATTGTAGTATTTCATACAATGGAATACTACAGATTAATAAAAATGAACAACGGTTACGACATAATGGATGAATCTCAGAAGCACGTTGAGTGAAAAAGCCGGACACAAAAGAATATATATTTCATTAGTATTTCGTTTATATAAAGATCACAAAACAGTCAAAATGAAACGACAGACACTATAGTTTTTATGGGATATATGTTTGGAAGGTAAAATCACACAGACAAAAGGCAAGGACGTGATTATCCCCAAAAAGTCAGGATTGGGTTACCTCTGGAGAGAGAATTCCGAGCTCCTGGGTGCTGGCAATGTTTTTTCTCGAACTGGTAACCACCAGTCCCCATGGCTGGGTGATAAACCAATAAGTGGTACATTGCGGGTCTTGCACTTGACCGGCGTGCAAGAAGAAAGGCGACGGGGACAAGAAAAAGGGAGCTGAAGCCGGCAAGGAGCTCCAGGTGGAAGGAAACGACCAGACCACTTAACGTGTAAGCCCCAGAGCGCTGGCACAGGGAGGCTTCGACCAAGGGTACAGAACCCCGGGGAGGGAGGCCGGAGGGGCTCCGGGCCGGGCGCGGCCACACCTGCCGCGCGGTCGGCCTCCCCGCGCGGCCCCCAGCCCCCACGTGTGCCTCCCGCGAGCTGCAAAGGCCGGCACACCCCGCTGCTTCCAGAAGGCCGCCCACCCCGACTCCCTCAGACCCTCTCACGGTCCCCCACACCCCCACGGTGCTACCGAAGCCCGCCCAGCGCTCCGGACGCCGCCCGCCCGACCTCCCCACGCCCAGGCGCCCGCCGACTCACCTCATTGTCGCTGCCGGGGCGGGCGCGCGGGGCCGGGGGCGCGGCGCGGGGCGCGGGGCGTTAGCGGGGCAGCCGGCCCCGGGCGCGGCGGCTCCGCGTCTCGCTGGGCTGCGGGGGGCAGCGAGGGCTCATCTTCTCGGGGCTGCCGTCCGGGCCGCTAGCTGCGGGGACGGGCTGCGGCGGCGGCGCCTGACAGCTGGGCCCCGGCCCCTGCCATCTTGGCGGGCGCGTGCCCGGGCCGCCGTGTGCGCACGCCGCCGGGAGGAGGGGAGTGCAGGGGAGGGGGCGAGCGTCGCCCGGGTCCCTCCGGCCGGGGGAGCGTGCGCCCGCCCGAGACTGGGGACGCGGTCCCCGGGCGGGCGCGGGCGGCTGCGAGGCCGCCGACGGACAAGCAAGAGGGCGCGCGGGCAAAGTCAGCCCGCGAGTCGAAACTGAGGGGAGAGCGCGCGCGGCGGCCCAAACCCGACACAAAAGGCGCGGAGCCCCACCGCCCGCGCCTCCAGGAGAGCTGAGCCGGGGTCTGCGAAGGGCGGGGCGGAACCTTGGGGGGCGGGTCGTGAGGGCCCGGCCGGGCCGCAAGGGGCGGGGCTTCGAAGGAAGGGTGCTCAGTAAGGGGCGGGGAGGAGCTCCGAGGGCGGGGTGGGACTGGCGGATGAGAGGGGCGGGGCTTAGAAGAAAGCGCGATCCGTGAGGGGCGGGGCCGAGGAGGAGGGCAGGGCCCAAAGTGGGCGGGGCGCTGGCGCGGCACGTGGAGCGCTGTGTCCCCCTTCCCGCGCGGGGTGCCTCTCTCAACTACAAAGGCAGCTGAGCGCGCCGGCGTCCGTGCGACTTGGCGGGAGGAGTCCACCTTCCCCGGCCCTGCGGCGTGCCCAGCCTGCTCCGAGGCAGTGAGCAACCCCCTCTCTTTGTAAATAAAGAGCCAAGGCTGGGACGGGGAGTCGTATCTTTGAGGCAATATCAACAGTTGAAGGATCTCCCAGTCCAAAAAAGCCCCACCTGGCGCCTGCAAACCACACCTTGTGAAAAATCACATCGACTGCACGAGGTCGTCCAGGTTTTCTCTGGTTGTTAAATCCCCACCCTTCCTAAAGGTTAGCCATCCTCATAGCTGGCTGGAAACCCTAAACTCTCTGAGTCTCACTTCTCACTTCTAATTAGACACAGTTCGTCATGCTTTCTCAGTATCGCTACTAATGCTCCCATTCCCCTCTATCACAGCAACAATGGAATCGTATCTACCTTTTTAAAAATTGCCTATGAGCAAGAGCACATCAAGCGTTAAGTGGTTTCTGGCATATAGTAGGAGGGCAGCGAAGGGTCGCTATTCTACTCCTGGCCCAGAGTGAGAAGAGTGGTTTTGCCCAAGATACAGGAAGTGGTGGAGTCAGTTCTCAAGCCAAGGTTTTTCTGACTCAAAATTTTTTTTTTTTTTTTCTGTACATAGGCCTCTCACTGTTGTGGTCTCTCCCGTTGCGGAGCACAGGCTCTGGACGCGCAGGCTCAGCGGCCATGGCTCACGGGCCCAACCACTCCGCGGCATGCGGGATGCTCCCGGACCGGGGCACGAACCCGCGTCCCCTGCATCGTCAGGCAGACTCTCAACCACTGCGCCACCAGGGAAGCCCCATTCTTATTTTAAAAAAATAAATTTATTTATTTTCAGTTGCCTTGGGTCTTCATTGCTGCACGCAGGCTTGCTCTAGTTGTGGCGAGCAGGGGCTACTCTTCGTTGCGGTGCACGTGCTTCTCATTGCTTGCTGCGGAGCACAGGCTCCAGGGTGCGCAGGCTTCAGTAGTTGTGGCTCGTGGGCTGAGTTGCTCTGAGGAATGTAGGATCTTCCTGGACCAGAGCTCGAACCCATGTTCCCTGCATTGGGAGGCGGATTCTTAACCACTGCACCACCAGGGAAGTCCCCCATCCATTCTTGTTTGCTGCAGTTGTTCATCATTCTTACACGTTGCCAATTGATCTCCCTTCGTCACCATCCACTTGTCCTCAGAGTTCTTTAGCGATTGGCTGTCACATCTCCACTTTCCTTCCCCAATTTCTTTGAGCTAGAGTCTTCAAACTCAAAAGGGCACCTTGGTCCTCTAACAGTCCTGTTAGCAGCCCCAGAGGATTTCAGCCCCTCCTAACCTTATCTGTCCCTCTCTTTCCAGGGTCAAGATCGGTCTCTTTGCTACAGAAGAGACTTGTTAGACCCTAAAAATTACTAAAATGGACAAGCCCCAGGTCACTTGGAGATGTCCCAATGTGCTCTGCAGAGGCAGGGTCACCCCTGGTTCATGCATATCAAAGTTCTGTGAGAAGACCCTCCCAGGATGTTGGCCTGTTTGTTCCCAGCCTGATTTATTGAAGCATGTGGTGCACTCTAACCTCTAGATCAAGCACTTTCCCTGCTGTCTTGGACTCTGCAACTGGAAGAAGATTTGCTGGGAGATGTTGATGGCAGACTTCCTATAGAACATTAGCACCAAAGGTGAGGGGGACTTGCCCCCGTCAACCTTTCCTGCTAACTACTAATCTCCTGGAACAGTAAAGACATTCAGGTTCCTTTAAGGAGCATCAGAGAACATGGATGCTATTGGGGACCTGCAAATCCTCCTCTTAGGAAAGGGTTTGGCGCACAGAACGCTGAGAAAGGTTTAAGCGGCCCAACATCACTCAGTGAATTCACGAAATCGGCTGTGTCAGCCTCCTTGGTAGGTTTCTTCCATGTGATGTTTGTTCGTTAGAGGGCTTCTTGAGCTGCAGAAAGGGCCGGGTGGGCAGGTAGGGACCACTTGTGCCCTAAGCTGAGCCCCACTTCCCCATGAATGGGCATTGGTATTTGTCCCACCAGCCCGAGGATGCTTGGGGAGACAGAGCCCTGCGTTTTACTCAGCAGCTCAGACCTCTCTGAGCCTCCATTTCTTACTGACAGATGGGACTCCTAACGCTGTCTTGCAGGCACTGCTGAGGATAAGCACAAAGTCAGCTCCCAGAAGATCCTTCCTGCCCTTCTCCAGTGCCTCACTCTCACAGCTCCTTCCCCTTTCCCTTGACTGTGCAGCACTTAAACCCATCGTCTATTTAGCATCTCTCCCGTTTGCTGAATGAAGGCTTTATTTCTTAAAAGTACATGAGTTCATGTTTTCCATTCTTCTGCTAAAAAGAAAATTAACATTTTGGGGGGACATGTGGCCCCTGAACAATGTGTATCTGGAAGTCACCAGTTCTTGGATTTGAAAAGATTGCTCACCAAAGTCAGTGACTTTGTACTGGGGTTCGGGACAAGTGGCCAGGCTATCTGTGGGTCAGCTCTGAGGCACTCCTGGACTGGATTTCTCATTCATGGGGGAGGCAGGAAAGATGGGGTTTCTGCTGTGTGTTAAGCCCAGGCTAGTCATAGAGCCACAGATACATAATACAGCTAAAAAGTCCTTAAAGAGTATCTTATGCAACCTCCTTGTCCAGAGGGTGGAGGTGAGGCCCTGAGAGGGTACACGCGTGAGTGGATGAAGAGCCTAACAAACACATTTCTGCAAACAACAAGCCCCAGGACTGCCCATGTTATCCCATGCTCCCTCCCTGTTTCTAGAAGTTTTTCCAGCCTGGAGTCACTGGTGAGGAACCAACTCCATGGATCATCTTCTCCATTACCTGGGGTTGCCAAAACAAAGTAATTGCGTCACTCATCACTAATAATAAAAAGAAACACAGTTGCTTTTGATGACTCACCAAGGAGACCATGTCTGGTTTATATTAATGAGCCGGGGTAAATTACTAATTCGTGTCAGACACCTGAAGTGTCTTCTTCAAAGGGAAGACAACAGAGGTCTCAGGGAACTTGGGATCACCTGTGACCCTGCAGCCCTTTTTTGAAAATCCCCACTGAGATCGTTAATCTCCTTGACCAATTCATTTATTACCAATAGTTGTTTCCCTTAAATACAGCACCATTTGTTTTCATTCATTCATTCATTGTTTATTGAGCACCTACACACGTCTGCCTCCTCTCACGCCCAGCCCACTGACTCTCTACCTGGCCAATTATCTTCAACTCCACCCACACGTCACCTCCCCTCCCCGCCCCCCAAACACTCGGCACCCCCTCCCACAGGGCTGTAGGCACCAATCTCCGAAAGGCTTCAGGGCTTTGGGCTCCACTCCATCACACCCTTGCCATCCCATTCTGGAATGGTCTTTTCACTTGCTGGCCCCCCGCACTGGACTGTGAACTTCATGAGAGCAGCAGGCATGTCTTCCGTGCTTATTCCTCTTTGTCGCCCCCGAGTTTCTTCCCCCACACCCCCCGCCCCCGAGCTTCCTACAGCACAGAGCTGACATGTCATCCTCATCCAAACGGTGCTTGTGTGGGGCAGGGACGAGCCTGCAGGCATTATATTTTGGAAACCAAAGCTCTCGCTTGTGTTCTGGTTGCATCTGGTGGGAAATATAAGTTGTTCCTGGCCCACCTTGCCTTCCGCACACTGAGGTTGGTGTGGGGCGCACAGCTGGAGCTTCTCTTTGACTCCATCTCTCAGGCGCCTCAGCTCAGAAAGCAACTCCCCTGAAGATTATGTTTCACCCACTTTGAAGGCTCAGGAGGGGCCAACTCTTGGGAGAGGAGCCAGCAGTGGTCCTACCGGGGATGACTCCTTGGTAACTCAAAGACCTGGACCAATCTAGGGGAAGCTGGGCCAGATGTGTGCATGTTGGGGGCAGGGGGAGGACCTTGGGTACCCATCTGGCAGAGGGCAACTTCTTAGTACCTCTTTGCACTGGGAGAGGAGCATCGAGGACCCAGGCTGGAGCAGGCCTGCCTTTCTGGAGGAGCCTGGAGCCAAGTCCTGCCATCCTGGGCTGCCTGAGTGTTCCCACTTAACAGGATCTTAACGGCCCCGCTTCATTAAAGTAAGAAAACTTTGCCAAGTGCATCCCTCAGGCCAGTCTAGCCTGCAATACTAGAGGGAGCTGCTGATCCCTGGGAAGCCTTTACCCAGGAGCCTCCAGACCTTTGGAAAAGGATGCCCCAGCCAGCTCCTACCTAGGAAGCCCAACCTCCTTGGCATTCCCAGCCCCAGCCATCAGGTCCCAGTGTGGGTGGCTGTTCACCAGTAGCCTGTGGAAGAAACGTCCTGGTTACTTCTCTCCCTGTCGGCTATCTCACACCTGCCTTGGAGACTCTGACAGCCAGGCCTCTGTGGGGAACTCATTTCTGCAACAGAGCCGGGAGGCCTGGGGCCTCTGAAACCGTGAGCTTGGGAAGTTTAAAGACTGCCATCCCCCCGCAAAATGCTCTACCACGCTGAGCAGTCAGAAGGTGACATGTCTAGAGGAGGCAATGACAGAGAAGTTATCAGGAGAGTCAGGAGATCTTGCAGAGGAACAATCTGAGAACAAAAGACAATTCTTGAGAACAAAAACCATTACTTCATAATTTAAAAGATTAATTAGAGGCAGGGAAAAACAGAAAATACACTGATC